CATCGCAGTCCTGCCAGCATCTCTCCCAGCACTCCTATTTCCACATCTGCATCCCCTAACGACCCCATCCCGCTCTCCCAATTAGCAGAGGCATCCTCCCGTGACAGCAACATCTAAAACCCCCCAAGGACCGAGCTCTGCCGGGTCAATGTGGCTCCGAAGACACCCACATGGAGCTGCGGGGCCGCAGCCAGCTGGGCACAGAGCGTGCCGGTGGAAAGCGCAGGCAGCGGGCGCTGGGGTCCGTGCTGGGGGGAAACAAAGGCGCTGCGGGAATGGAGCTGGTCTTTTCATGTGTTTTAAGCACAACTTGAGTACCAAGGCTCCTCCGGACAAAAGGCTTGCAATCTGAGCTGAGCACAGAAATTCAAGCCCAAGGGTGGAGAGAACCTGCCTCAATTCAGTGCACCAGCACTTGGCGTTCTTTAAGGGGGGAGACTTGACAGTCTCAGGTTTTTTCTTTCTTTGCTCTTTGCTGAACGGAGCAAATCACCTGCAAAGAGCCTCCAGCCCCTCCCCAGCCCCTGTCCCTCTCTGGTTTCCGAAGCACAGCTGGAACCAGGCAGGAAAAGTTTGAGATTTCAAGTGCTCTCCAAATCTCCTATTCCAGAGTGGGAAGAACACAGCCCAGAGCTGTGCACCCCAACAGCCCAGGGGGAACCCCAGCTTGGCAGAGGTCCTGGGGCTCCTGACCTGGCTCTGAACCCCTCCTCTGTGCAAACCCCAGGTTTCAGTTTCTCAGCAGGGGCCAGAGCATCAGCGTTTTGCCTCTGCCGAGACCAGGGCCAGGATACACAGAGCTGTCTTTTTTCTCCCCTGTTTTGCAGGGCAGACTGGTTCCTGCTGGACAGCCGGATGGTTCGCCACGCTGCCATCGGCCTGTTCTGCTGCGGGGTCTCGGTGTACCTGACAGGCAAGTGCTCCTTCCCCCAGCACAGCCCAGCAGGGACTGTGCACGTCCAGCCCATCCTGCACTGGTTCCCGAGAGCTCACAAGCTGCTGAGTTTCCACTTCAGCATCGGGTTTGTTTTGCAAACGGCTTTGCAGCTCATTCCTGGAGCGCAAACTTTCCTTTCTGGGTGAGCAGCCCTCCCAGGGCCTGAAGTTTGCAGGGCACATGCATTGCTTCAGTCTGTCTGGTTCTTCAAAACATTCTGTTTTCCTTCCAGCTCTCGCCATCTACATGCTGCTGCTGTTTGAACTGGAGGCCGGCATCGCCAGCGCCTGTATCCTCTCCTCCGGCATCCTCGTCCTGCTGATCACCGTGACGCACGCCCTGGTCCGGGCTTCCCAGGCTTCGCGCCGCAGCCGCTCCGAGATCTCTCACACCCTGTACGAGAACGACTCTGCCCAGCACGGCGAGTCCTCCACCAGCGATCTGAACAACAAGAACGTGGCCGCACCCCGGGCCCGA